ATAATTTTTTAATAAAACTATCAAACGTATTTTTAAAAATAATTTATGTCTAAAATTAAAAATATTTTCATTTTTATTTTTATACAAAAAGTAAAATTATTTTAAAATGAGTTTCAAACGCACCAAAATAAGATTACAACCCTAGTAAAATCAGGGATAAAATGGTCATTTTGAAAATGTTAAAAACAGTTTTTATTTTTTTAAACTCAAATGAAAAAAGGGTAGAAATCCTAATCCGGGTGATAGGTAAAAGAAATGCACAATTATCTCCATAAAAATTGATCCAGATGTGGTTTGAAGATTAAAAACTCATTTATTTCATACGTTTAAACTAATTATTCATACATTTAAATTAATTATTCTTAATTTTAACATTTAAAATTAAATTTTTTATTAAAAAAAACACTGTAACATAATTAAAATTTTGAGTTTAAACGCATGAAAGGATATAAAATTCCAAGAGACCTGATTGCAAAATTTGGTCCAAACCCATAAACAACAAAGGTAAGCCCCACGAGAAAATGCAAAACTTTAGAAAGAGTCAAATGGCTTGAATTTCCAATCAAGCCCTCTAAATGAGACTGCTAATCGGAACCAAGATATCAAAATCTGATAACAACAACAAAATAATAAGAATTAAGAATGTGCAACGCGACCAGAGAGGCAGAAGCATTAAAGATAATCATAAACCAAGTCATTCATAAATAATAAATGAAAAGTCGTTTCTAGTTTGCTTTCCTCAATTTTGGGGGCCTCAAACAATGGGCTTTAAAAGACAAAATTAAGTAAAAATGTGGATCCCGATGACTCTTGGCCTTGTGGTGTGTCATCGTCTCATGGACTAAGGTTGAAGGCGAAGCAAAGGGACTAATTTTGGGGACAAAGCCTGAGAAAATATTTTGTCCCCTCAAGTTTGCAGGGCTGTCGTTTTACAAATTGGGCACAGATTCTTTTGTGTCAACCATTGTTTTATGCAGTCCCTGTGGAAGTCATGGCCACAATCCAGCCTTCCGACATTTTCACCTTCATTATACTCCTCCTGCATATGGTATAATATGGTTTAACAAGGAAACGACAAAAAGATTGTTTTGTAAATAACTAAGATCACATCCTATTGCGTCCTTACCTGACAAATGGAACAAGGTTCATTCTCCGATTGAAATTTTCCTGCTGCGGTGTACTTCTTCTGCTTCAAACACTTTAATATCATTTCTTCGCTTAGTCCAGTGCTCACATTTCCAATGCGCTCTTCAAGTGCCAGCAACTCCTGTAATTAGCGTAAGCATTGCTCAATTAGACATTCAAGAACACTAAAAAACAGGATGAATCATCTTGCTTCATTCACAAATGGTACCTCATAAGACATGTTATCGACATCGAGTCGCATATCCCTGTGCCGATCATGGATATCAGCCACCCCAACAAATACTGAGGGATCAAGAATCATAACATCCTGACCAAAAAGCAGAGAGCATGAATCAAATTTCAGGTTAGAAATGATATCAATGAAGTCGAAACTACCAGCTGTTAAAACATTCAGTTTCAATGTTATTGCATATTAGTTGCTCATAGTTGAACAATAAAAAGTAGAAAATTTGTACTCCTTTAACTTCGAGAGAAGGGTCCAACTCTCTTCAGAGCTGAACAAGTGAAAAATGTGAAGTCGAATTCGCTCCCCGCTCTCTAACCCCTTCTGATACAGCCTAAATGATATCCTAAGCCAGATGAACCCTAAATAACATGTACTCATTCGCTTCACCAAATACCAGGCAGCCCAGATCTACAATCATGCCTTTTGGGAGGAAGATGTCTACCACTGGTCTTAATTCCACGTGGTTGTTAAGATGTCATGAGGAGTTGGGCCTGTTTTAAAATGATCAATTTCTCAGATTTTCACACTCCACTCAGATGGAATGCAAACCATTGATCAACAGCACTAAACATCATAGGGCAGTAATTGAATTAGTAACAGAATCTATCACTCTTCCGTGTCTGTTTGTCCCTTAGCTGATAGAGGATTAGAACAAGTACATGCTCTTAACTTCTAAGCGATCGATTCCGCTATTTTATACTATACATCAGAGCCATCTACTATTGCAATTTACTAAACCTATATATTTTTGACAAAGCAATAAAAAAATGGTAGCTGTTATTAATTCTGAAACAGTACATATCTAAATCTAACCTCAAATCGCAGATTCTCCCCCCTTCGCATGAGACCAAGGACATTGCGAATCTGCTTCACAGAAGGAAAAAGAAATCGTCAGCTCACAGAGGGAAAAAGAAAACGTCAGCCCTTGAACATAATTTTGAACATCATATTCAGATACTAAAAATTAATGCTTAATATAACTACTTGCAAACATATAAACGTTTTGACATGTACACTCAAATATTACTTCATTATACCCATCAAGCCATATACCTCAACGGGAAGATACAGATTATGATACGAACGAATCTGAAAACCATCAGACAACTCCAATCTCATCATCATTTCTTCCCAGAATCCAAATGATGGTATCCAAATATCGGGGGAATTAAGAACACATGAATGCCATTTGAAATCATAGATAACTGTTTGCATTTTGGCATCAATTTTTTATAGAAAGACAAAAAATAAGTTACAAAGCATACCTCAGACACAAGCCTGCTACTTCCTTCACCAGCAGCACCAAGAGATCGTAGTGAGTATTGAATTCCCAGTCCATTATTGCTGTGTCTCTCCATCCATGATGCCGACCGTGGGTGTGGTAGATGGTGACCCTGGTTACCAGCTCCAGTCGGAAGCAACATCTCCTGTGAGGAACCGGGCAGGCCAGGACGCAGTGGCAAATAGCTACCACTCTGCCCGCCAGATTCAGCTCCAACAGAAGAAAACAAAGAACGGCGTAGATACTCGGAAAATCTCCGTGGATAATGAGGAGAATTGTGATGGGGAGGCCAGACGGGAGCAGATGATGGATGGACATTGGAACTTGAACCAGCCCGGGATGTAGAAGCACTATTTCCCGGAATACTTGTACTTCCCCCAGCTAAACTCCTATTTGATGGATGTCGAACCACATTTCTCAATTCTGTTGCGGGTACAAATATGGGGTGGTCCAATATGTTTCTGGGAAAGCTTCTAGAGCTTAAATCCTCCCGTGGTAGGACATCTCTTTCTCCAAAATCAACAGCACTTGATGAACCACCATTTCTTGAGGTAGAAGCTCCATTCCATCTTAATGGTTGTACGTTTTGAGGGAGAGAATTATCAATCATAGCAGGCTGACTTTGGTTACGCATATTATCTACTGCAGAAGGTGGCCTTAAGTCTAGGCTATGAGAAGCTTGAAGAGGACTTGGCGATGGTTGGGGAGGCATAACACTAGAACGCCTAACATTCCTCCCTGTTGAGAATATGGGAGGAGAAACAGGATTTTGTTGGTTTGAGGGATTGGTCCTCAAACGGAAGTTTCTATGAGAGCTTTCCGGTCTATCAGAAGTTATTGATATTCCACCTAGTTCAAGTCTTGGGTTCCCTTGTTCCAATGAAGGATACATGCTAAGACTACTTCCTGCGTTATTCTGAGCAGAAAGTCCTGGCCTTGCACTGCTTTCTGTATGCTGAAAGTAGCTACAACTTCCACTTGAAGAAGATGGCCCAACATTTCCCTCAATAGCCTTTCTTTTACAAGACATCCGACGACCCTCCTGTCTGCCATCGTTCTCACCAACCATAAACCCAGCACTCCCCGAAGGAAGCAGAAACGGATCAGAAACACTTACAGACCGACTCTGCTCATTTTCTGATCCACCAAACTTGTATGATGAATTAGGGAATTCCATAATTTGGCTATTATTATTATTAGTATTGACACTGCTACGACCCACAAAACCTAAGTTAAGACTCGACGAAATTGCGTCGGGATGATTGGAACTTTGCACGAACATAAGGTTCGCATTATTGTCAGCTGAACTGTTATTAGCTGGTTCATGACGCTGCTCTTCTAATCTCGGACCTGAAGATGATGGCCACCCCAGTTCTGTTTTCCGCTCATCTTGACTCGCTTCACCATGTGTGTTGCTAGAACTAGCTTCGTTTAAGCACCACCTGCTCAAGTTCGGTCGTTCGCGGCTCCTGGAATTGACAAGGGCAATGTTCATATCACTTGGTGCTATCAAATAGTCCGGCATACGGTTCTCTGCAGGATTTCGCATGCTATTCCAGCAAATCTGCTGGTCCATGGTTGCGTTATTTGATGGAGTTCCAAGGTCGAAGTCAAGAGTTTCTGGCAAGGAACCAACACTACCCCTTTGCCCTTGCATTAGGGCCAAAATGAATTTGCTTGTAAAAAATACGAATTAAAGAATTCCGAGAAATCTTCAGCACCAACAATCCGTCACACACTCATTGGCAGATCTAATGAAACAAAGAAAACCTTCAAAGGATTAGATTGGCAACCAAAGCGCTTAGAAAAGATACATTTTCACAGATAAGTAAATTCATGTTATAACCCACGAAAGTAACATCAATCTTTTCCAAAGTCCAAAAACAAACAATGAGAAACATATAAAGTTTTTCTGGTGTTTGGTAAACATGCTTAATGGATGAGAACACAATTTTCTCTCCTTCAAAAACATATGAGAAATAACCTCCGTAAACCAACCCAAAAGAAAAAGGTCTCAGAATCATGAACCGCAGACTAAAACCCCAGTATAACGCAACACTTGAGGGAAAAAAAATCTAGTTTTAAGTTAAAGGTGAAAACTTTTTTCCAAACAGGTAATCGACCAAACAAAAACTGTAAGAAGAACTAAATAGAATAAAGAAAAAACCCATTCACAGCAAGCTCATATTGTTATCCATGAAGAGACAAAAATCAAAACCCATTTGCTCAAGAGAAAGAAGTCAGGTAAGATAAAAATTCTAAATTTTTCCAAGATCGGTCACCAACAACCTGGGTAAAACAAAGCCACCAAAAGACTTCACCCAAAATCGCATCCAAAATCTGGCTATATCGAAATGAAAAATATATTTTAAAAAAATAAAGAAGAAAACCCATAAGAAACAAACATATTCTTAAGAGACAAACGCAGATAACCTGTTTGAAAAAATGCCGATACCCCAAAAGGGAAGAGAAAGCTACAAAGGCTTCAAGCGATTCAACCCACAAGTCTCTCTGTATATTTCGGTCCACAGATTAACGTTCAACCATAACAACAAAGAAGAAGAAAACGATTACGGAAATGAAACAAAAGGTCATCACCGAACGATCGATCAAAAAGGACGAAATAATAGAGAGAAAAAAAAAAGCTAAGAAACTAACATATATGGGTGAAGATTCCGATCTATGTGAAAAATATGGCAAAAAAAATCAAAGGACAGGCCCGGAAATTCCGGGAAAATGAAAGGAAAAACACCTCTCACTTCCTCCAAGCAGGCCAGGCCTTTAAAACTTTTTCTATACTTTCTGAGAAAATTTGCCTGGCTCTTTCTCGAGAAAAGGAGGAGGCGAGAAAAAACAGAACCCGCTAAGCAATGGGATAGAAAGAGAGAGAGGTTTTGGACCCTTTGGGTGGACAAAATATGAGATGAGAAATGATATGAAATGAGGAGAGAAAGGGAAAGA